GAAGACGAGTAAGAGCTGACAGAAAATTCATGCCAACGGGCCATTTCTATGACAGAGGCTAGTTTTCCTGCTAAGGGAGATGCCGGGAGGGATGTGAGGCTTGGGAGTGAGGGTAGCGAGGGGCTGGTCATAATGCAGAGAGTCCAAGGGCTAAAGACCTTTGGTATAAGCTGTGGTGAGCCTGTGAACGCTGAAACCTGAAAGAGATGGGATTCCAGGGCACAGGATAAATAAAAGCTCTGGGAAGAGAGTCTTCCAGACAATAAATAAGCCCAAAACGCAGCTGCAGACTGTTCCAAATCACTGCCTATGTTTTCTTTCCACACACTGTTATTTAGAATCATAATCAGAAAGGAACCCCCATGGGTCCTATGAATTAAGAGTGGGAGGTAGGGCTATCAGAGTGGCTCGTTGGTTAAGAGTTGGCTTGCGAGTGTGAGCTCTGAGCAGCAGGGCCCTGGTTCAGATCCCACATAGGCCAGTGATGCTGCGCCCTCTACAGCTAAGATGGTGAACAATAGCTCGACCTGGAGCTGGGCTGCCATGAGTCGCCAGCAACAGCGTAGGCTGCAGTGGGGCTGCAGTGGGCTGCCATGAGCTACCGTGAGTGGCTGGCAGCCCGCGTGAATGGCCGAACAATGGCTGGAGGCCGATCTGCCTCAGCCCGGAAGAGTGCAATGATCACAATACCAACATGCGCCAGTGAAGCGACACGACGTCCTCCACAACTAGACTGAAGAACAAAAGGACAGCAACTTGTCTGTTCCCCTCCCCCTATTCCCCAATAAAATCTTTCAAAAAAAAAAAAAAGAGTGGAGGGCAAACAAAGAACATACATCACAAGAGGAATCATCCAGAGAAATACAGAAAGACTTCAGAAAAATAGTTCTCCATCAACTCAGAGAAATTGCAGATATAATCTCTTAAAAACTAATGGAGGCAAAGAGGTGGGAGAAAGGAGACACAGGAAATTTACAAAGAAATTATTGGACAATAAAAAGAGATGAAAGCTGACAGGTGAGTTAGCAGAGCTCAGGGGTAAAATAGGAAAGAAAAATAAATATGTCACATATTATTTTAAGAACCATATTCTAAGCAGTGAATAAATAGACAAAGCACAGTGTGACAAGCAGAGAGGTGGTAGGCGGGCTGGAGGAAATCACACAAGATTAAATGGAGAAGACTAATAAGACAAAATGACAGATATGGGAGGCAAAAGGAAACCCAATATATACATAGTTGGTGTGAATCTTTTACCAAAAAAAAAATAGATCCTGAAACGAGGAAATAAAGTATCCAACTAGAGAATGGAAAAATCCCCTGAAATAAACAAGACTTGGCTCTACAGATTAACTGCCATTCTGTGGCCCAGGGAACGTTGATGGTGTAATGAACACCAAGACATCCTTAAAAAGTTACTGAGGTTAAAGGTTAAAGAAAGAACCAGATAAGTAGGAGACATAGGGAGATGGATTGAGGAGAATCAGGGTCCTTCATAGCAGCACAATTTCTGAAAACAGTGGAGCCCAGATTCTACAGAGTTCTAAGAGAAAGAAATTATGAACCAGAAGTTTATATCCAGCTAAACTGTCCTCTGAGCACATAGTTAATAGGCAAACTGAAACATGACTTTATAAGTAGGAGCTTAGACATCCATAAGGCCGTAAAAAAATTATCTGATGCTGACATCCAACCAACCAAAAGATAAACCAGGGCCAGCTGAGTGGTGCATTGGCTTGGGACGCCAGTTCTGAGCAGCAAGACCCCGGTTTGGATCCCACATGAGGGCCAGTGACGCTGCACCCTCTATAGCTAAGATGGTAAACAACAGCTCGACATGGAGCCTGTCTGCCGTGAGTTGCCGGCGATGGTGTAAGCTGCAGTGGGGCTGGCCAGCAGCTAGCGTGAGCTTTTGTGAGCTGCTGTGAGCCACCATGAGCCACCGTGAGCGGCCGTCCAATGGCCAGCGAGCAAATGCCTCACTCGAGAAGAGCACAATGATAATACCAACATGGGCCGGCGAAGTGAGGTTCTCCACAACTAGAATGAAGAACAAAAGGACAGCAACTTGTCTCTTCCCCTTCCCCGATTCCCCAACGCTGTTCCCCTCCCCCAATTCCCCAATAAAATCTTTAAAAAAAAAAAAGATAAATCAAAATAAGTTCCTCAATGGAGGAATCCTGGTGAATAATGAATTATTTTTTAAATTGGGGCAATTATGGTTATTGGCTAGAATATAGAAACCTCAACAGTATATACAAATAATAATATAACTAACTGAAACTGAGAGTGGAAGAACAGAGGTGGATGATAATCTCCTCAATTTCCACTGCATGGGAGTTGGTTCCTTATGGATGCATAGGTTAAAAAAATTAATGAGGAATGATTCATTGAATCCCAGGACTTTTTAGGGCAGTGGAACTACCCTGTGTGATACGATAATGGTGGTTATGTGTCATTACACATTTGTCAGAAACCAGAGAATGCACAGCACAAAGAGTGACCCCTAATATAAACTATAGACTCTGGGTGACAATGACGTGTGCATATAAGGTCATCAGTTGTAACAAATGGACCACTTGGGTGCAGGATGGTGACAGTAGAGAAGGCTGTGTATGTATGTGTAGGGGCCGGACGTCCGTGGGAAATTTCTGTACTTTCTTCTCAATTTGGCTGTGAACCTAAAACTGCTCTAAAAATAAAGTTTATTAATTTAAAAATTAATGATTTCAACCTTTTAAGGGTTGTTTTTTTTGTTTTTTGTTTTTTGTTTTTCTCACAGAAAGTAGATTAGAGGTTACCAGGGCCTGGGGAGATGGAGGAATGAGAAGTCATTGTTTAATAGTTACAGAGTTTTTATTTGGGTGATTAAAATGTTTTAGAAATGGTATAGTAGTGATGGTTGTACAACATTGTAAATGTACTAATGCCACAGACTCGTACAGTTAAAAATGGTTAAAATGGAAAATTTTATATTATGTATTCACCACAATTTTTTTTAAATTAATAATGTCATATTCCAAAACCCACTGAATTGTACATTTTAAATGAATACATTTAAATGCACGGTATGTGAATTATATCTCAATAAAGCTGTTTAAAAAGCTTCTCTTTTGTTCCCTAAACTTCAACCTTTTAAGAACTATTATCACGTATGACAAAAAAATGTTTTTCAGAAGTTTAGCAATTTCGTTTTGTTTTGTTGTAGATAAGTGCAAATGGATGACGTGTCTTTGGTTAAATCAAGAAAAATAAAATTTGATCTTTATTTTTTAAATGCATGTAGAGAATGATCCATTTTATAAAAAGTTATTACTACTCTGATTGTATATGTCTGTACAAAGAGTCTGGCATAGGGCCGGCCGAGTGGCTCAGTTGGTTAAGAGCTCG